GCCCCCACGTCTCTCCTACGGTGCTAGAGGTAAACCCCTTTTGTTGCCCACTATAGGTAGATGACTGACAATAGTCCTGAGGATAGCTCCCGATTCGGACTGCAGACACGACGCCTGCCAAACGAGCGGATGAAAGACCGGTCTGTAGGTATCATCAGTTGGGGAGTTGCTTATACGGAGCGACTTGCTCCTTCTCGCATGGTGATTTGCACCCAGACCATTCGAAGGCAGCTGTAGTCGACGTGCCTCAGGTAATACCACACGTTGGCCAGCCTTGCATTCGTGCTAACGGGAACTTGTTGCAGCACGAGGCCAACAAGGACAACTTTACGAGAACACTCGGCGGAGCATTCGTTCAGTTCGAATCCGGTGCTCGTGTGGGCAAGATTCGCCTACCAAGCGATTTCTCTGCTGCCCGCATCCACGGGCTGCCACGAAACACCTCCCCCGATGCCGTCCGGGACATGCTTGCCGCCCTCGAGCTTCATGCCAATGTCGATAATATACGTATTTTGCGTTTGGAGAATGGTTGCGCTGCGGTGGTCCAATCCGATGAGGCCTCGTTTTCGAAACGGCTCTGCGCCCTGATCGGAGCAAGCTACACATGGCGAGATGCAACCCTGTCTGCAACACCGGTAGCCGCGCCTATGCCATCGGGCTATAGCGGCTGCCGCGTAGACTGCAAGAAGATACATTTGTCCTGGCATAAACCATCCCGAACTGTCTGGTTGAATTTTGGCAATGGTGACATTGCCCAGAGGGTAAGCCGCAAGTTCTCGAAAGGAACGTATCTAGTCTTGGATCAAAAAGTCGCCGCCTCCGACGCGGTCAGAGCAGAGACGGCTTCAAGGTTTCATTCAACAAACCCTGTAGCATGGACCGTTGCACTAAATGATGTCCCTGCTGTAGCAACAAGGGAGGCCATTTTGCAGGCGATAAGAGAGGAGCGCGATAAGCCCCGGCATGTGGAAATAGGCCCCCCAACCTACGTGACCGACCTTGAACAGGCCGCGACAGTTGTGCGATCGCTTCTGACGGGTATTGGACCCCTCGAGTACTGGGAGACGACGCTGGAGACGACGTCCAGACGGGTCAAGGCAGCTGCACGATTCCTGGACGAGTCAGACGCACGGGAAGCCGCGAACAAACTCGCAAACACTGCGCTTCCGTTCAACCGCAAGGCACGTTTGACAGTGAAGAGTGTCTACTCGGCCAAGTTCAAGGTTGGCTGTGCCGTGTACGACGCGGTGCATGCCAGGATCGCTGCGCAGGAGAATGCATGGCAAGAAGGAAATGTCTGGTTCAAGGCATACAAAAGTGCGGACGTCTTGAAGCGATTTCGAGTTTTGAAGATTGAAGCTGAATTGGCCGACAAGGTGGCTCGTACCAAAGCCGAGCTCGAGGAAATCCTTGCTGGTGTTGTCGTCAAGGACGGCGATGGTGTCCTTTGGGACACGTCGCTCAAAGCGAATGGCCAGCTGTACCAGGCCATAAAGAAAGTTGAGAAAGAACTGAAAGTCATCGTCATCAGAGACAAGATCAAGTCCGAGCTGCGTCTGTACGGCGACGAGGGCCGATGTGCGAGGGCGCAAGTTCGACTGGCCGAGGTGCTGCGTGCCGAGCTGCAGCGCACGTCTGCGCGCACCATTGAACTCGGCCTTGAACAATTCGGCTGGGCATGCCGCGGGGGCTTCAAAGCCATTGTGTCTCGACTCGGCGCCGACAAAGTGTCGTTTGACATTGTGTCGATGCCGAAGAAGATGATTATCTCCGGCTCGCTGGAGGACTATGACGTGGCAGTCGCCGCCATCACTGACGGCGCAGAACAAGTTCTCGATCTGGACACGCAGCCGCAATGCAGCGATGCGGGCGAGGCATGCTCCGTCTGCTGGACCGACGCTGATACGCCCGTCAGGATTCGCTGCGGCCACATCTACTGCCTCGAATGTTTCCAGCACAGCTGTGACGCGGGGGCCGTTGGTGAGACGTTGGGCATCTTCTGCCACGGCAACCAAGGAACGTGCCACAGCCCAGTAGCTATTGACGACTTGCGGGACAATCTCTCCTCGGCCATTCTCGAGAGACTACTGGAGCGCTCCTTTGCGGTCTACGTAAAACATCACCCCGACGAGTTGCGCTACTGCCCAACCCCCGACTGCGGGTACATATACAAGGTCACCTCCAAGGCACAGTCGCAGCACTGTCCGAAATGCCTCCAGACGACCTGCTCGGCCTGCCACGAGCCGCATGTCGGCATGTCGTGCGCCGACCACCGGGAGATTGCGTCTGGCAACCATGCGGCGTTTCTGAAGCTGAAGGAGGCGTTGAACATCAAAGGCTGCCCCAGGTGCAAAACGCTTTTGGAAAAGACGCAGGGCTGCAACCACATGACGTGCAGCGTCTGCCAAGCGCACATATGCTGGGTCTGCATGATGGTGTTTCGCGAGGCGGGTGCGGTGTATGCGCACATGAGCAAGCTGCATGGAAGCCATGTGGATATTCAGCAGTAGGTAAAATGCAGGGAAATTTGCAAAAAAGAAGGGAGGGGGGGAAAGTACGCAGATATGGGCAGAGTCGTGCTGAGCGCCAACAGCCGCGGTGCCCTCATCCTCAACATCCAGCTGCGTGAACCCCTCACCAGCACCCTTGTCCCAGCTGCGCAGAAATTGAAATGTTGATATTCCATACGCGTAAAAGCGCTACCAGAGTTCCGGTGAATTGTCGTCTTTCTTATGCAACGGATTTAAAGGGGATATGACATGTTTCTCTAGTGTAGAAACAAGGAGTGGGATAACATGGGCCGTTTTGGCATCGCGGGGTAGTCGGTTCAATTGACTAGAACAAAAAAAACGACAGCGGAAGAAGCAAAGAGCAGTAGATGACCGAGCCTTCCCAGGCTCCGGATAGGCCGTGGCCCCGGCAAATGGCGTGGCCAAGGTAAACGCTAAAGCCAGCTGTTGCCGCTGGTGGCCGCGAGGAAAATAACTATTGGGCGACGTCATCGTCAGCCACAGCCGGGACTTGGCTGCAAGGCTTGATCGGCCAACAAATTGACAGGTTCGCATGCATCTGGGATGCGGCATGCCAAGCCATTCTGTTTCAGAACGACCGGCTGCTGTAGGCAGCGCAGAGAGACAATAAGGAACTGCAGGCTGGGCAGCTGCAAGTTGCCGACGTCGGTGAATGACTAACTACAGACGGAGGCGTGTTTGTGAGAGCCGAACCGATCAAGACCCTTCGTGCTCGGTGGTTGCCGACCATCGTACTCGGTACGGACGGAGAATGGCGAATCGGGTAGGAATCGTGCGGCCGTGGCTTGGGGGGGTCCTGGCTAGCCACAAGAACGGGTCAGCAACGACAAAGCTGGGCTGACGAGACTAGGTAGTTTGTGGAGTGAGCGGAACCGGCATTAAGCTGCAAGGGCGAGAAGCGGGAAACCTTGACATGTGTTGTGTGGGTGCGTGTGTGTACAGGCAGGCATTGGATCAGAGCGCGCCGCCGCAAACTCCATGATACGTCAGATGAGCGATGGGGTGAAAGGGGAAATTAAGCGCCGATGGAAACGAGCGAGTTGATGGTGTGGCAAGTCGTGTCGGAGATGTTCGAGGATGAAGGGACGGGAATACTTGGGACTGGGCAAACGGGGACGGAGGACGGAGAGGCCAGCAGCTTGCAGAGGACCCACCTAGGTAGACAAGGAAGAAAGGAAAATCGAGTGACGTCAATCATTGTTCTGGTGGAAAGGAATTGGCATCTCGGTAGACCACCAGCCAGTCGTGCAACGACGGGTGTGACGGTACACTTGAAATGACAAAGGCTGGCAGCTGCGTGTGGCGCGTCGAATTTCTCTTTCAGCATGATTTTCCCCAAAGAAAGAAAGGCGCAGAATGATTGTTCATTTCCCTTGGCCGAACCGAACTGGACGCATCGGGGCGCTGAAGCTGTTTAGCGCCGCGGCCATAATAACCCACTGTAGCTCTCCACTTGGGAACCTCTGGCTCGACCTTTTTAGGGGGCAAGTCGTGCCCGTTGTAGTGGTGGGCAGCGCCGGAGCCGGGAAAGTGAGAAAGCTTTCCAGGCGCTAAACTAAGAAGGACAGCAGCTTGAAGCTTGGAAGCAAAAAAAAAAAACCTGCTTCCCATCCTTGCGTCAGCGCACCGCAGCGCGCCGGACGGTGCCATTCCAGTCCCCATCGCGCCCAAGTTCTACCTACATCCTCCCACCTCCCCCTCCGCCTACCTACTTTGTGCTTCTATCATTATTCCATACATTGCACACCTCAATTCAGCATCCCTCTCTTCCTCCATCTCTCGCCTCGACATCCTCGCAGTACAACCCTTTCGCTCGAACCCTCCTACCTAGACAGCGACGGCTCCCTTGTCGCCAAATCACACCACCCGCACAGACAACAACAACAACATCAACAACACAACACCGTCGCAATGGAAGGCATCTCCACCATTGTCCACGCCGTCGTGGCCCTGTTCCTCATCATCGAGCTCGGATTGACAGCCTACCGTACGTAACCCGTCCAGATCAGCCCTATGCGACGATATGCGCGCGCACCCGGCATGCAACCCGCGACCGCCCGCATCGCGACAAACCCCCGCCGCCGCCCCCTTCGCGAAAAACGTCTACGAATGCCTCACTAACGCTGATTTTTTTTTCTCTTTTGTAGTGGTCAGTCGCTCTGGCGGCCACGAGTCCCGCTTCAACTTTATGCTCTTCAACTCGCTCTGGACCCTCGTTGTCATGCTCTACACCGGCGTCGTCAAGCGCGCCTTTTCCAGCCTCTACCACGCCATTGTCGGCCTCGCCCTGCTCGCCCTCACCGCTATGTTCTGGTTCGCAGGCTCCATTGCCATTGCCGCCAAGATTCCCATTCACTGTCACGGCGTCCACGACTGCCAGGTCGCCCAGGCCGCCACCGCCTTTGGCTTCTTCCTCTGGGCCATCACCACAGCGCTGGCCGTCATTGAGGGGCTCGGATCGCGCGGCGGATCGCGCGTCTAAGAAGATTTCCAAGAAGAATGAGACGACCTGCTTTTTTCCGTCGAGCCGGACGTGGCCAAGAGTCGTTGTGCCTGGTGCCCCGCGCATCCGGCACAGCCGGGGATGGGCCATGGCCGGCCGAATTCGCAGCTTGCGCGCCTATACCTAGAATACTAATGATTGTACATCGTCTGTTGGGTCGGCAAGGAGTTGCTTCTTTTTTTTGTGGTCCTCTGGGGCTGCTGTTTTTTTTTTCCCTTTGGCTTTCTTGTTTCTACTTAATCGGGTTTATTATGCGCGAGATACCCTCGAGCTGCTGTCTATACGATAACGCGAGCACGAGTTATTCTTTTCTTGGATAGAACGCCCTGGGTTTGCACGGGCACGGGTACGGTGAAGGGAGTGATTGGTTCGTGGGAAAGAAGCCCACCTAATGGAGGAGGCTGGTTGTGATATAAGGAAACAAAAAGGACGGCGTGCTTTGTTCCCCTGTGCCCTACTGGAAATCTGATGGCATGTGGCATATTTTGTACAATTGTGTTTCCATTCGATATCATAAAAGACATTTGTGTGACAGAGCCCAACTGCTGCATCCGCTCCCGGCAGCAGCGCGCATCTGGTGCCCCCCCTCGACGTGACGTGCCCTTGTCCTCCTCACACATCCTGCGCAACCTCCCAGCTGTGGCCGGCCGGGTCGCGAAACGCGGCGATGCGCTTCCCCCAGGGCTTCGTCTCCGGGCCGAGGACGATTTCGACGCCGCGCGCCTTGAGCCGCGCCACCTCGGCGTCCACATCGGCGACCCAGACGGACAGCTGGCAGCGGTGGCCGGCGCCCGGCCCGGCGACGAGCCGCTGGCCGCCGACAATCTCCCCGGCGGCGCTGGCGAGCAGCAGATTGACAATGACATTGTTGAAGCGCACCGAGCACGACTCGGCGTCCTCGAACAGCACGGGCGCGCCGAAGACGTCCGTGTAAAAGGCCTTGGATGCGGCGAGGTCCTCGGTGAAGAGGGAGATGGCGGCGACGGTGCGCAGGGGGTTGACGTCGGCGGTCATGGTGGCGGGATTTGGAGAAGGGAGAATGGTGTGGATGGATGTGTGTAATGTGTGAATGCGACGCTGGTTTGGGGGGTTTGGGGTCGTTTTATAGATGGGCGACGAAGAAAAACACCAAACAGACCTGGTCTGCGACGACTTCAGCCTGGGATCGGCGGGGTGGCTGGCGGCTGGTGGTGCGCCACGACAATCTGGAATTCACGCTGGATGAACAAGGCACCGCACAAGCAGGCTGGAGGATATCATACGCTTCGTGAACCGACCCTTCAAACCTCTCTTGAATCAATTAGCCCCAACAGACAAAACAAGCTCCGATCACCCTCTCACTACCTATATCCCGCATGACACATCAAGGCATGCCGGACGGTAGATCACAGGTGTTGGTGGCGCTCTTGTTAGACACTGGACAGTTTTATGCGACTTATTTTATTTGCAATGCGGCTATTTGACAAACATGGAAAATAATAACAGAAACCCAACATCTGGTCGGCCGAGCTTAAACTCTAACTAGTAGAGAACTCCATACAACGACCAGACGATACTCATCAACACCTAAACCAGCACGCCGGAACAGAGTGAGGAACTGGAAATGCGGTGACAGAACCTCGATACCATGGGAACTCGGACGATAAAGCCAACACTCAATCTTATTTGGGCAGATTGAATGTATGATCCTGGTTCTCCCAATTTCCTGTGGCGGCTTCATACCAGAAATACTGCAGTCTTTTTTCTGACATGTCGAAGTTCTTAACCTCCGTGAATTGGGTGGATATGATTGTTTCGGTAACGATGCCTTCAGCAAACCAAATTTGGATGTTGTCCTTAGGCTGGTATTGCGCGAATCCATTCGGTGGCAACTTGTCTGGGCTGACAAAGAACTATATCATGGTTAGCAGGGTCGACGATAAGTTCGCTCAGTCTCGCAGGGGGAAAATTGCATACTGCTTGCCAGGCACCAGTGTCTTCATTCAAAATTCCCACGACAATGTTGACAGACTCAGAATAGCCATTCTTTCCAACATTCACAGCAAGGGGGTCCTTGTTGGGGTCGGCATTGTTGATTTCCCATCCGCCAGTGTCGGTCAGATTATAGGATTGGCCGAGCTCGCAAGGCTGCCACCTTCCGGTGTACGTGACCTTTGAGCCTTTGTTTGGCATATCGCTCGTCCAGTTGAGGCCGTACTTGGGAACCCATGAAATGGTCATGCTCGGCGAAAGCTTCTTTGAGTGGTAGACCACATTGAACTTGACCTCACCACCGGGAGAGGATACTCCTTTCGAGACTTGGACGCTGTAGTGGTTTTCGTGCAGGAACTTCCTGTCCTCTGTACCCTCTTCGATAACAATGGTAGTGCTCATGATGAGGACTGGAATAGGGACAGGAGCGTAGGAATGGTGTGGAAAACAAAGAGTTTGAGCTTGGCTGGACTTGGAAGAATTGGAAGAATTGGAAGAATTGGAAGAATTGGAAGAATTGGAAGAATTGGAAGAATTGGAAGAATTGGAAGAATTGGAAGATATGTGTTTGCTATACGGCAGCCATTGGAGAAGGAGGAAAGAGGACTTTAAATAGTGCTTTCGAGGGTGGCCTTGCTCGGGGACTCGGAGTCCGGCTGGCGGAGTGTGGTGCGCGATATCAGCAATTGATCAGCCAGCTTGCCGACTGTGAATATCTGTCGGCAACTCCGGTGTGCAGAAGTATACGAGGGATTTTCGCAACTTGCTCCAAGACATGAACTGTATGCACGCCAGCCCGGCGTACAGGCGCAAATACCAACATACTTTTGCACGCTGGCGATCAGAACTGAATCAACCAGCGGCAGTCATGGGGTGTTTACTTGTGGCTGAACCGGCATACCCTTGACGAGTCACAGTCTTACGCATAAATGACCTGTAAAGTGGTATTCGTGGTAGGGGTATGGTCTGGGTAGCGGGTGATGCTCGAAAAATGATGTGCAGTCTGTCTCGTCGCCGATTCTGGTGTTGGTAAGTACACCGGATCTATCAGACCGCCTTTGAACGCTCTACGTTACGTCTCTAAGCTTCCGCGTCTTTCCATCGCGTTTTGTCAACGCCTATCACAAGTTTACTTTGAGTCTTCATGATGAGAGCTGCGTCTGTGCTCCTCCGCTATCTCTCGGCGGCCCGTTGCCATGACTGGCAACATATGCAAATGCGCCTCGACAACTATACCGAGGACTATGTCTGGACGCACAACAAATGCACAAAACTCGGCCGAAACATGGCATTCTGCTGGAACGAGTTCGAAGACTACTGCGAAACCAGAGACAGCGGGGACCAGTTCAACCAAAACTGCCTCAGCAGGGGCACAGACTGCTGGGCCTACGACTGTTAGGAAATTCTTGGATTTTCCTATAATTGCTGTAGATGAGCTAGACACCAATGAATTCGCTTGCTGACACATTTGGAAGGAGGTTCGGTACTGGTAGGTCATTACGCGGCGGATGGGCAGAGAATTGGTTGGCGGTTGAGAGGCTCAGGCAGAAGCTTAGCAATACCTGTAGTATCCGCTTGATAGGGTCGAGCATCCATAGCCACGGCGAAAGTGAAGGGAATAGATGAAACTCCCACCTAGCCAACGTATTGAAAAAGACACATGTGATATTCACAACTTGAAGAAGACCTTGGCTGGGAGCCTTGCCGCCCGTGTGCGGTTGGGTTGCCCTATACCGGACCGGTCTGCACAAGAGCGGGTTCTTACCCAACTAGGCGGTTGCTATGAGGCCTATACCTAGCTAGTACTGGCAAGTCCAAGGAGAAAGCCTCCGGGCGATGAACCGAGAGCGCCGGGTTGGGGAGCGCTGTACGCGCCATTCTCCACCTCCTTCGCATACCCAATCTTTGTGCCAAGGATACCAAATCGCTGACTAGTGTCAGTCACCTGGCGCATGTATGGCAAGGCTCGCCCGCTCGGGAACGCATCCGGGAACTCATCTCGGCCCACTCCTAGTCTCAACTTAGCTGCAGATCGTCCGTAGTATGAAGAAGCCCCGATCCAGCAAGCCACGAGAGCGGGGACTGCAAGAGCGGATGCATCTACAGGTGCGTACAATTCAGCTCCTTCAAAAAAACAGGATAGAAAATGACCTTGCCCTCCAGCTCCAGTCTCGGTGCATGGCTGATTGTGGCTGGCTGCGCGCTCTGCTTGTCTTGCGTGATGATTCTGGGAGCGGAGAAATAAATACCAAGGCGGACTGCAATACGAGGGCAGAAAAAGGTTCCTCGGGGGGCCGCGACCTCGCGCTCAGCCCCCGGACCAGACATGGAAGGGGCCCTTTGCGCCGACCCTGTCTGAGCACGTCACACTGCGCCCGCCTCGTGACTTGTCTGAGACGACATGAGCTTGTCTTCGAGGGACAAGGGAAGGGGGTACGGTGCACCATTGATGCCACACTTTGCAAAGTTGCGTTTTAGCACTTACGCACTTAAATTCGTAATTCACTCCACATCACACTATATAACACTAAAACACAGCATCTTTAAACACCTATTCCTCTATAAATAGGGCTATAATTAAATACCTTTCTATATATATAAATAGATAATTAATTAATCTATTATTTAGTATATAAAACTCCTATTTTATATATTTACCTATAAAGAAATAGGTATTTAAAAATACTATATTTTAGTATTATATAATATATTAGGATCGCTATCCTAAGTAGGTAATAGTTATAAGATTATAGGTATAGAGTGCTTATAGAGGTACTCTATAGGAATAGTTATATAATAATAATTCTTAATTAACTAATAAAATAAACTATAAAAAGAAGAGGCTATAGTTAAATATATAAATAGGTAATACCTTAAGTACTATTAGGAAATTATAGGAATAAAAGAATAATTAGTAGTTATATATATTAGTAGTTAATAGCTTATAGGTAATTACTTTACTTATTTATAAAAGGTAATAATACCTTTATAATAATCTAGTTTTATTAGCTTAATTACTTATTATAATAGCTTTTATAATACTTTATATTAAAGCTATAAGTATTAAGACTTCTTTATATATTATTATATAATATAACTATTATATATATATACTATATAGTATAATTAGCTACTATATATAACTATATATAGTATAAATCTATTTATTATATATCTTTATATATAGTATATCTTATTAAATATTTACTATACTTAGCTAACTATATTTACTATAATGCTTATTAGTATAATACTAGTAGTCTCTTCTTTTAGCTAAGTTATATAGCCTCTAGGCCTTTTTATAGCTTTTAGTTGGTAGATAGAGGCTAGGTATATACCTTAGGCTTACTACTTAATATACCTTTTTAGGTTTATTAGTAACTAAAGCTTCTCTAATTATTCTTTTAAGACTATTAGAATAAAGCTATTAATACTTAAAAAGATATAGTATTTATTAAATATTAGTAGATTCTTTATTATAAGTATCTCTTTTAACTTAGCCTAGAATCTAATAATAATAAAAGTATTAGCTTTTTATTTATTAAAAGTAATAATACTAAAGCTAATTATATTATTAATCTATATACTAATAATACCTAAATTAAGGCTTAAAGCTAATAAAAAGTATTAATTATAAGTAAATAGTAATATTCTAAGCTTTTTAAAGTAATAAGTAAAGTATATTACCTACTAATAAATACTAGACTTAAGAATACTATATAGTAGTAGGATAACCTTAATAATAGTACCTTTAAGATAAAGATAATAAAGTTTTAAGGGAATCTAGGTAAAAATATATTATTAAAAATAAGTTCTAACCTATATATAGGCCTAGATAATATCCTAAAGCTATAATAGCTAACCTTATTAGATTTAAGTTAATATAAGGCTTAGGATTAAGTACTAGCTTATTTTTTAAATAGTTAGTAATTAGGTAAGTAGTATATCTTTATTATAGTCTTAATAACTATATAGAATTATATATATTATTTTTATAGGTTTTTTAATAATATTAGATTTAATCTTATTAATTATTTAGAATTTAAATAAGTATTTATAATAAATAATAAGGTTAAATTTAATAAATTAAAAGACTTTATATTCTAAAAAACTTTATAACTTTTTTTTAATAAAGGTAAAGAATAAAGGCTTATTATTAGGAAGTATATTATCCTTTTAAAGCTTTAAGTAATATTTTATATTATTCTTTTTTTTAATAAAAAAGAATATTTTATTTTTAATTAGTTTTAATAGAATTTAGTACTTTATAGGCTAGTATTTTATCTTAATATTAAGAATTACTTATAAATACCTAGGTTTATAAAGAATAATAACTTAGATTTATTTAATAAGTCTTAAAGTAACCTTAAAAGGCTTTAAAATAGTTTTAATAGGTTTTAAAGTAGTCTTAATAAGCTTTAAAAAGGCTTTAATAAGCTTTAAAGTAGCTTTAATAGTCTTAAAAGCCTAATAATTATAGTTTAGATTATTATTAAAGTTATACTTACTATTAATATTACTTTTAAAGGCTTATAATACTTCTAGGTCTATATCTAGGTCCTTTTTAGTAAAAAATAGGTATATAGTAGTTATATAGAAGTTAATAAAACTAAATAGTATTTTTATAGTATATTTTTTAATATCTATACCTATTAACTTATAAAGGCTAATTTAACTATTATTTTTATACTAAATATAGATATTTAATTATAATAATAAATAGTATAAAAGGCCTATATTAAGGCTATTATATATAATTAGTATTTTATATACTTACTATAAAGAGAAGGCTTTCTAGGTAGTATTAATTACCTTTTAGAAGGCTTTAGTATATTAGGCTACTAAAGAGTATAGTAAGAACCCTTTTAAGAGGTAAGGGTAGGTATTAAAGACTAGTAAGGTAGGTATTAAGCTATTAAGACTAATAGAGTTATTTATAGCCTTAATAGTAAATTATAAATACTTATTAATATTTAAAGTATTTTATAACTTTTTATAAATAATATTATAAATATATTAAAAAGGGGTATAATAGTATTCTAGCTTATTAATTATATTATAGGCTTTTATAGGTATTAAATATACTTAAATATTTAGCTTTTTAGTATATTTATAGAATTTAGTAAATAAAAAGTTACTTTTAATATTATAAATAATCTATTTAAAGGGTCTAAAATATATATTAATCTAATAATATTAAAATATATTTTAAAGGCTTTTAATATTCTTTAAAAGGCTTTCTATACTTCTATAAAAGAATTAAGCTACTTAAAAAGAGGTAATAGTATCTAGTATATATAAGATAGGTTATTAATTATTAAGATATATTATATTAATTAGTATTTTATAATTAAATTTATACTTATCTTTTAAAGTAAATTAAAACTATTTAAGGGACTTAGTATATAGCTAGTATTACTTATAGGTAATTATTAAGTAGTTTAGTACTTTTTTATTAAATTCCTTTTTTATATATTTTAATATCTAGCTAAAGTAGGTTATTAAAAGGTATTTAAAGTAATAATATAAATACTAAAGCTTTCCTTCTATTAGGTAAAAAGTAATAGCTTTAGTAATATATAATATCTACTAAAGGTATCTTTAATATTTTATAATAAAAACCTTTAGCTATTCTTAATAGAGTATATTATTAATATTATCTAGCTAAATCTTTAAAATATCTATATCTTTAATAGAAAATAAAAATAGTATAGTAGTTAATAATACCTAGAATATAATTACTTTAAGTATTATAAGTATTATAATCTTATTAATAAAGGTTATAAAGCTAATATTAAAATAAACTATTATAATAAAGGCTAATTCTATAACCTAAAGGCTTAAAATTAGTTTTATTAGTATTTTTATTTATACTATACTAATATTAAAAGTATTAATAATATTTATATTTAAGAAGATCTTTTTAAAAATATCCTTTATATATTATTCTTTATAGCTAAAAATACTAAAAATACTTTAAAATAGATTTTTAATATAAATAGTATATTTAATAAAGATATTAATAAGGAAATATATAATCTTTTTAAGGGATTAGTTTTTTATTATAATAAAAGCTTTAATAGCTTTTAAAAAGAATATTTATATATCTTTTTATTTATTTATTAAAAAGTTATCTTTATTAAAGAATAAAGTAATAATATAAATATTAACCTTATTCTAAACTAATAGTATCTCTTTTAAGGTTCTTTTAAAGACTACTAAAAAAGCCTAATATTTTTTATTATTTAAAGGCTTTTAGTAAATCTTATAAGTATCTTAGGTATTATAAGTATTTTTTTATTCCTTTTTAGTATAGTTTATTAACTAATAGCCTTCTTTCTAGTATATAAAATAGTATTTTAAGATACTATTTAAGCTATTAGGTTATTTCTTTAGAAGGATTTAAGTATTATAGAACTACCTATTAATATAGAAGTTCTAGTATTTTAAATAGGTTTATTTATATATATAGATTAACTATTAAAATATTAAAATTAAATCTTTATAATATTCTAAGGGTTATATAAAGGCTATAATATAGGCTTTATTATTATATATAATACTTTTTAATATATTTTAAGTCTTAATAAATATAATTATACTTTTAAGTATAAAAAATAGTCTTTAATATAGGATTTAAATCTTATTAATTAATAACTTAAAATAATTAATAATAAACTTTATAAAATACTCCTTTATTAGCTTATTTAATAAAAAATACCTTTATTTATCTATATAAAGATTCTATATTAATAAAGATTTAAATTAGTTATAAACTACTTTAATTATTTTACTATAGGTTATTTAGTAGTTTATAATTATTTAAATATAATACTTTAAAGCTTTTCTAATAAATATTAATAAGAATATATATAATAAAGCCTTTTTTAAAAGCTAGGCTTAATTATAGTAGTTAATAAAGTTATATATCTAGGTATAAAAGAAGTTATACCTTTTTTTATTATACTTATTAGCCTCTTAATACTTTCTAGTAATACTATTAATTTATTTTAATATATTTAGGTTTACTATAAATAGCTTAAAGGGTTTATCTTTAGGTTATTTATACTCTTTATTACTAAAGTAATATAATAGTAATAAAGGTAGTAGTAATAGTCTTAAAGGTAATAGTAATACTCTTTATAAATATAATAACTATAGTAATCCTTATAATAGCTATAATAAAGGTATAGGTAGCTTTTATAAAGGTAGTAATAGTACTTTATATTTAGGGGGTTATTAAGTAGTCTACCTTTTATAATACTAATAGGTAAAGTTTCTTTAGTATAGTTATAATATAAAAGGTTAAATATACTTATTATAGCTAG